GGGGGGGGGGCAGGGCTCTGCTCGCCGCAGCTCGCGTCGGGCATTGGCATGCGGGAGGAGTGTCTAGGCGGCCCGCAGGCGCTGTGTGTGTGTGTGTGTGTGTGTGTGTGTGTGTGTGTGTGTCCGCGCATGTGTGCGTGTGTGTGTGTGATGTCACATTGCGACGGGAGGGGCGGTGGGGAGGCGTCACTCTCACTCTCGCTGAGCGCGCGGCGGCGCTCTGGCCGTGATAAGCCCCGCCACAACAACGGCAGCCGCCGCCGCTGACGAAGAAGTAGCAGTCTTCTGACACTAAGCTGATCTCTTGATCAGTTTTCTCGCTCTCAGGTCGTCTGTTGCCCCGGCCGCTGCCCCTTCCGGGGCCCTTCTCCTGCGGCGGCCACGTGCCCAGCCCAGAACCAAGCGTCGTCTCGCGCGGGGGCGCTGCCCTGCCGCGGGCCCCTGGGCCCCGCTCGCACCACACACCACACCCCGCCCCGCCTCGACGGGGTCTCGACCCCGAGGTCATGTCGACCAGCAGCGTGCTGTTTGTTCGCCCAGCCAAACACAAAAGGTGTCCAAATCGCTGCTAACCGTTCGGCCCCATATGTGCTCCCCCCTCTCCTCTCCTCTCCTCTCCTCCAGGGCGGCCCCGGTAGGGTTTAGCACGGCGAATGTCAAAGGCCGCAGCGAGCGTGGAAATGACTCTTTGTCTTTGTTCCTCGTGTTCCAGAGCGCCGCAAGCAGGACAACACCGCCGGCGCCATGGTGGACGCGACTTCAGGGTGAGCACGGCGTCGTCGTAAGCGGCACACCTTTACTGCCGCGCTAACCACGGAGTAATAAGCCTACTACTCCGCGGTGCTAACCACGGCCGACTGCGGGCCCAGCACGTCACATGCGGGTCAAACGAGCACGTCGGTCCCCAAAACTTACACCCCCCCTCCCCCTCCTTGTCTCAATGTGCCTCCTTTTTTGTTGACAGGGCCAACAACCATGCGAACCAGAGACAGAATGGTTCTGCCAGGTAAGTAGTGTCAGAGGTGCTCGCTCCTGATTCCACGTCTGGCTGGGCGCGGCGTGGCGCCGGTCGGGTCGCCAGCCAAACGTGCACGTCTCTGACGAGCCTGTTCTCTCTATGCAGCAGGCCGAGCGATGGCGCGGCCGGCCAGGTGCTCGCTGTCCTCGTGCTCGTCCTGGAGACCCTCTGGCTGCAGGTGCGCATCTGGGCGGAGGTGGTCCGCGGCGTGTACCTGACGCTCGTGCCGCCGGCGGAGAAGTCGGTGGCGGGCGAGGTGGTCCTGGTGACGGGCGCGGGACACGGCATCGGCCGCGAGATCGCGCTGCGGTACGCTGCGCTCGGCTCCACCGTCGTGTGCATGGACATCAACGAGAAGGGCGCCGCCGAGACCGTCTTGGAGATCAAGGCGCTTGGGGGCGCTAAGGCCGCTTCCTACAAGTGAGTATGAATTAGGTTCAAGTCGGCTGGACACGCCGCGGGTGAGACACACCGCCCACTTCCGACGAGACTGTACAACATGCGGGGCTTGTTTGTGGATGAGGTGAAGGCGCCCCAGAGGCGATAGGCACACCCGTAGGCGCGCCTGCATGCGGTATACAGTATCGACGCCGATGCACAGGGGTTTCCAGTCGCCTCAACGTGAAGTGTGAAGTCCTTCCCTCCGGCGTTCGGTGCGCTGCTGAATCTTAAAGAAATGGCTGGGTGTTTGCTGCTTCGCGATGAGTTGCGGCAGTTCCTCTGAACTCCCGAACGTCTGAACTCTCTCTAAAACTTGAACTTGTTCGCTCAGGTGCGACGTGTCCAACCGGGATGAGGTCCTCGCAGTCGCCAAGACCATCACGCAGGAGGTCGGCCCCGTGACTGTGCTCGTGAACAACGCCGGCATCATGCCCACCAAGCCCTTCCTGGAGCACAGCGCCGAGGAGATGAAGAGGATCTTCGACATTAACATGCTGGCTCACTTCTGGGTACGTTTCCCTAGTTTGTTCACAATCATCCCCCTTTGGAACGGGCCGGTGGAGGCATCGTCGCGAGGCTTGCTCAACTCCCAAAAAATAGTGTAACTCCCTGGGAAAGAAAATCAGGAGAAAAAAAATCAAGGAAAAACGGGGGGG